GGGGGGAGGGAGAGAGTCCAGTCGGAGCAGCTCCGCGTCGCGGGGGCGGATAGAGCAGGAGGGGCCGCCACTGCAGCACAGAGGATGAGCCCCGGGAGAGAACGCCCCCGGCCAGGACACGTTTGGAGATGCTGCTGAGAGGCAGGTGGCCCCTGGGTCTGAGGAGATGGCCACCAAGGTCATGAACGTCTCCAGAACTGCCACCCCGCAGCCCCTGCTCCCCAGATGCGGTGGGTCAGTGGAGGGTCTCTGCGTGGTGGCAGAGACCTGACCTTGGAAGTCAGGTCTGCGGGTGACCGAGGACAGCTCGTTGGGAAAGCTTTCCCCAAAGGCGAGGCTGTCAGCAGCCTTTGATGGGGGTCTCCGGTGCGGCCACCCCTCCTCGCCCATCACTCACACCGGCAGACCAGATGCAGGGGCATCTCACCTGGAGCCCCTATGACTGCAGCCTGCGTCCAGCAGGGGGCGGCAGCGCCCCATCCAGGAGGCCAGTGGGCAGCACATCTCCGGTGAAGTAAGGACCCTTGTAAGGACCCCTTTACAGCGTCTCATAGATGCACTTGTTCACTACTAGCGTGGAGAGATGTGCTGGGCCATCGCCCACATGCTCGGTTCAGAAAAAGGACCCCCAGATGTCCTTTGTAAATTCAAATTCTTAAATTCAAGGAGCCAGTTAACCTTTCAAAATGAGGCAGAGAAATAAAACTTTCTCATTAAAATATTAACCCTGATTCCAAACACGGTACTTGGGCAATTCAGACTGACCAGGTTATCACGAAGGTGGGGAGGGAGGCCACTCCTGGGCAGAGGGGGCTGGACCGATCCCTCTTCTCAGAGACCCTGGCCAAGACCATCCCCGCTTCTTGTGCTCTGTTCTTTCTACTGCAACTTGAACGTTTCTTTAAAATTTGCAACCTTTGCTCTTTTTTTTGAAGTGAGTGGTACAGCTGCCCTTCCTTCCCTTGAAGTTCATTTTCCCACCGTCTCCCCTCCCCTCCCACAGAGTAACAGTCCATGGTGACAGAACTGTGGTGTATTCACTGTTATTACACGTGTGTGGACACATGGCCGCCCAGCGGGAGACATTTCTCCAACTTTCTTTCACCTTGCTGTAACCACACGACTAAGTTGAGGCCAATAGGTTGGGAGAAGTGATTCCCACAACTTTCAGATTGTGCCCTTAAAGGAAAGGCCCCCTGCCTCCCCCTTTTCCTCTTTCTGTAGCCTGGGGTGAAAATGTGAAAGAGGGAGTTACAGCAGCCCCCTTGCACCATGAAGACAGACTGAAGTCGAGGACAACGGCATCCCGCTAGTGTCCTGGATTGTCTACCTGGACTCTAACACAAGAGAGAAAGAAACCACGGGATTAGAAAAGATACAGCTCCTACTGCTAGCTCTCCTGTAGATTCTCCCAAATAAAACACCAGGAAAATTAGTATATTAGCACATGCAACTCGAGCAAGAACGTAAGAAAGCATCTGGCAATTCGCAGTGAGTGTGGCGGGTGTTCATATACTGAACCATAAAACGTGAAAATAAGTCACAGCTGCTCGTTCCGAGCTCTGCTTCCGCAGCCTCCCCGCGCGTAAAGTCCCTGAGCACAAAGACAGCGTATGTCCCTCTGGCTCCCACAGGGCAGTGAGCTCCACGTCCGAGGACCTGAACTCTGTGAGGACCGCAGCGATTCGAATGGCCTTCCCGCAGTTGTGAGGGAGGACACGGGCTGCTCCAGGAATCGGATGAGATAACAGAGGCCTCGGAAGTCTCGAGCCAGGAGTGCCCTGTTCGTATAAATGGGTGGGCGAAGGGGGTCCCACCCCCCCGGCACCGTCACAGCTGGCTTCTGCGGCCACAGCTGCTGCCCGCCACCCTGAGGCCCCCGAGAGAAGAGGGTGCTCTCGACATCAAGTACAGAAGTGGCCCAAGTTTGGGGAAATTCCCACTGCACTGAAGAGCTGGAGGGTGAAGCAGGGAGGCGGGAGAACCCCCGCCCCCAAGGGGGCATGGAGGGCGGCAGACCGGCCAGCAGAGATCCTCAGAGGAGGGCCATCCGCAGTGGGAGCGTCAGCGCTCAGTTACTGTGCGGGCTGACCAGGCAGGTGTGGCTGACCGGCACCACAGTGTCCGTTGTCATCCTCATTTTATGGGGATATGCACCTGAAAACTGAAAGCCTGAACTGGGAATGACTACCTGGAACCCACCTTACCAGAAATGGGGACACCACCCGGAAATGAATTATCACGTGTTGGAAATTAACTCGAATATGAAAAGCTGCTCTGCCTTTAGAAACCTAGTTGTTATGGGCTAGTTGGACTTGTGTCCCCCCAAATTAACACGTTGGTCCCTATTCCTCAGAACGGGACTGTATTTGGAGAGAGGGCCTTAAACAGTTGATAAGTTAAAACGATACCATCAGGGTGAGCCCTCATCCCATGTGACTGGTGTCCCTGTAAGAAGGGGAGGTCACACACTCCCCCCACAGAGGGACGACTGTGTGAGGACACAGGGAGAAGACGGCCGTCTGCAAGCCAAGGGGAGAGGGCTGGGGCGAAACCAGCCCTGCCCACACCGGGATCTCAGACGGGGAGATAGAAACGTCAGTTGTTTGAGCAGCCTGGTCTGTGATATTTTGTTACGGCAGCCCTCCCAAAGTGATACACCAGTAGGCCCTAAGCATACACACTGTATTCATTTAGACCAGATTCTGTGTCCTCATACCTCCCGAACGCCTGGAATTTGCACACACTATCAGAAATCTTAAAAGGATTTAAAAATATTGTACTTTCCTGGCTTCACTTCAAAGCTAGGCTATCTGTCCTCAGAAGCAAATCAACATACAATTTGCAAGATAATACCTCCGTGCCTGAATTTTCACCTTTGCTGAGATATACATACAGTAAAATCTCAGTTATCCAGAAATAATTGATCGAGACCGCGTCTCTACTACTTTGTAACAGGAACCAAGAAAAATTATCCTCTGGTCAGCACATAGATATGACTATACATAAACACACACACATGCATATGCAATAAATTACACATGTGCATATGATTAATGTATTAATAACAGCCTGGCAGGCACGAACCCATTGTCCCTATTAATACACAGTCCTGACAAGTGTAGACAGATGATCCCCAAACACTGTGGAACGATGTTTGCAAAGAGTCAGAGGAGGGACGAAAGGCACACACTTAAGGTCCAGCCAGAGCCTGACAGTGAGAGAAGATACGAGAAATAGATGAAAAGGAGACCCGGGAACCGTTAAAGAACAGTCCGGAGCCCTTTAGTGTAGGAGCAGAGACCCCGGCAGCCCCGGGTCCCCGGGGGCGTCGGCCTCTGCAGCACCAAACGGTTGTCGATGCACCTGTTCTGATGCCCAAGGCAGCACGAAGAAAGGATGCCATCAATGAAATAAAATATGTAGCCCATTTTAGAAACACCTTTATTCACTATGGCTGAAATCTGCAAAGGGTTATTGCATAAAGAAGCAAGTTTCACTCCTCTGGAGACGGAGATGCAGAAGACCTTGATCCCAGCTTCACCGAGTCAGCGTGATGTTTCTGTGCCGGTTTTGAAACACGCTTTCACACATCTCATCACTGCTCTGGTCAAACCGAAAGAAGCATCTGAGTAACGCCTCCTCTGCTTTGATTTCTGAAGTCACACGCTAACAGATTTGAAGGACGTGGGACCCCTGAACACCAGGGTCTCCCAGTCGGAGCCCTGAGACTGGAAGACAATTCCTATTTCACCCGCAGAACAGTTTTATTTTGCAAAGCCAAAACCATGTATTAAAAATACAGGCTTTGGATCTTAAGAGATCATGTTGAATTTCGTGTAGAGCTATAGCTGAAGCATGTAAAAACAAGAGCAAGTTTCAGATAACACATTAAATACACATCAGTATCTTTGCAGCTCATGTCAGGACTTTTCTAATAAGCATCGGTGGGTTTTTTTGTTTGCTTGTTTGGTTAGGTTTTGTTTTGTTTGGTCACACCTCAAGGCTTGTGGGATCTTAGTTTCCCGACCAGGGATCGAATCTGGGCCCTCAGCAGTGAAAGCACAGAGTGCTAACCACTGGACAGCCAGGGAATTCCCGTGTTTGTGTTTTTGTAAGATGGGTTGATGCTTTTCCACTTAGGTTCATATATTTACAAAGCACTTTCCAAACTTGAGTTCTATGAACTTTTAACGCAAAGAGATTTGTTAAAAACTGATTCCATAGTTAAGCTCAGACTTTAGGTAAAACCACTTTACTGCAGCAGAAGCCAACGTGATCCAAGCTCTCTGAGAAGCTAATTTGAAGCTCGTCACTGCCAGAGTCCCCTCCACACAGCTTTCTTCAACTCCATGATGGAAATGAACAAAAGTTCTTACATTATTGTCTCAGTAAAGTTTCCTGGTTCTTTTTTAAAAAGTACTCTATTTATTAAAAAAAAAAATTTAAACGACTAACTCTTTAAACTGCACTATAAGCTCCAATTTTATTGTGTTCTGTTAAACAAATAATTATTAAGCCCCTTCTGTATGCTAAGTGCATGCAGTCTAATGGATTTTTAGAGGAGAATTTCCAGTCACAGAGGGAAATGAAGCAAACTTACACTTCCTGACGGCCGGTTACAACCTCAACTGCCTTATCCACCGTGACAAGTGTCTCTAGTGCTCATGCAGCCACCTCTTCTGTCTCTGAGCTTGTTTTTCTTCTGCTTTTTTATGAGCTCATGCTTGAGAAATGAGAAAAAACTCACACTTTTTCACAGGGAAATGAGATAAAGCTCAAGTCAGCCCATTTTGCTATTATGACACCAACAGTAACCATCACGATGGAAAGACGTTTAACCTTCTGCCTAAAATGAGTTACACGAGGGCATTCGTTTGTTTTTTCCTTTTTCTTTTTTTTTTTTCGGTACGCGGGCCTCTCACTGTTGTGGCCTCTCCCGTTGCGCAGCACAGGCTCTGGACGCGCAGGCTCAGCGGCCATGGCTCACGGGCCCAGCCGCTCCGCGGCATGTGGGATCTTCCCGGACCGGGGCACGAACCCGCGTCCCCTGCATCGGCAGGTGGACGCTCAACCGCTGCGCCACCAGGGAAGCCCATCCGTTTTGGGTTTTTAAGCCGTGGGATGTTTTGCGACGACCAGAAGAAATTGTGGTCTAGGGCTGCTTCGTGAATATTCCTGAAAGTGTTCACGTTTGTCAGCAATTCATTTTCATTCAGCATTTCCCAAAGCCTGTTTTGCAGAATGCCAGCCAGCAGGGACGGGGGCACAGAGCATCCCCGTCAAATGAGTTTGGGGGATGCTGCCCGTCGGTGCCTGCTGGCACCCTGAGCGCGTGCAGCCCTGACCTTGCAGGAAAGACCCCCCTCGCTTTGGCTTCATGTCCACACGCCCCATGCGTTTTTGTCCTGCCTGTTAGCCCGTCCGCGCCGAGCCTGGGGGGCGTCACATGGTGAAGGAGGACGGGCTGTCGTTGTCCGCGGTCTCGCTGTTCTGCCGGGAGGTGAGGGTGTCCGAGTGCAGCCGGGAGCACGAGAAGCCCAGCGACTTCTGCCTCCTCTTCACGCACCACAGGTCCTTCGTGATCTTCAGAAAGTAGCTTCTAAACTTCTGACCGACGAAGGCATAGAGCACCGGGTTGAGGCAGCAGTGCAGGAAAGCCAGGACCTCGGTGACGTTCCTGGTGTAGCCCAGCAGCCTCTCGCTGCTGCACGAGCGGTCCGTCCTGCCCAGGTTGACGGCGGTCACGAGAAGCACCATGTTATGTGGGATCTGGCAAGCCAGAAAGACAAGGACCACGGCTATGATCACGCGGATGGCTCTGTGCCTTTTGGAATTCTGAGCTTGAATTAAGGTCTTGACAATAAACATGTAGCAAAATATCATAAACACCAGCGGGATGAAGAAGCCGAACAGGAGCTGCAGTCCCAGCACCAGCAGCTTCCACCGGACTGGCTCGGAGACGGTGTGGTACCTGGGCTCGCAGACGTCGCTGCCTTGCAGCTTGTATTTCTGGTTGAACATGAAGGTCGAGCTGGAGATGAAGATCGACACCACCCACACGACCAAACAGATCATCCTGTGGTGGGCCAAGGCTCTGGACCGGAGCCGGAAGGACTTGGTGGCCTGCACGATGGCGATGTAGCGGTCCAGGCTGATGCAGGTCAGGAGCAGCATCCCACAGTTAAAGTTGATGGCGTAGATGCCCCGGGTCAGTTTGCACATGACGTTGCTGAATATCCACTCGCCAGTAGCGTGGTTGACGGCCCAGAACGGGAGGGTAAGGACGAAGAGGATGTCTGCGACGGCCATGTTCAGGAGATAAACGTCTGTCATAGACTTGGCTTTCTTATAAAAAGCAAAGGTGACCACCACCAAAATATTGCCCAGGAGGCCAGAGACACATATCAAGGAGTAAGCGAGTGGCACAAATAGCCCAGAGAACTTTCTGACCTCCTGCAAGGAACATAGAAAGCTATCAACATCGAGTGAGTAATCTGAACTATTAGCCAACCCAAAATAATCCTCATTGGCATCGTAGATGTTGGTGGAATTCATGGGTTCCTGGAAAGTGAACAAAGGTAGAGTTAGCAGTAGTGTCATTTTCAAGGAGCACGATTGACCGAAATTATACTCCCAACCAAAATAAAAAAGATGCTCAAATTATACCTCAATAAAGATGTTAAAAAAAAAAAGTATAGTGACAACATCAAATGCTGGCGAGTACATAGAAAAATTATATCATGTCACTGGTGGGAAAATAAAATGGTTTAGCCACTCTGAAAAAAAAAAAAAAAAAAAAGATGCTCACCTCTCTCATGGTGGTGCTTGATCTGGGCAGAGTGTCCGGGCCTGGACTAGAAGGGGAGTGGATTTTCAACTCCTCTGGCTCACAGAGGAGAGAATAGGAGAGAAGTGAATCTAAGGAGGAAAGAAAGCAAAATGCATTACAGCTAAGTATTCTCAGAGAGCCAGAGGATTAAGGAAATAGATTTCTTCCCATTTCAACACCAAGAGTGCACAGCGCACTATTTTACACAGAAATATTCATTTAGAGCTGGTGTCAGCAACCTCCTTCTGTAAAAGGCCAGATGGTAAGTATTTTAGGATCTTCAGGTCCTGTCGTCTCTGACACAGCTACTCAGATCTGCGGGTGCAGTGTGAAGGCAGCTACAGACAGCTACACAAATGAGTGGGCGGACCAGACATGGTACTGTGATTTGCCCATCCCTGATCTAGAGCATAAAAAAGGGCGATATCAGCAAAACCACAGATCTGATCTGCAGAAAAACCTTCTGCAAAATTCAAATTAATTACATTCACAGGAGTCCACTGAACAAAACCTATAGAAGTGTAGATGTTGCTAGGATACTTATAATTTATAGTCCTAGCCTGAAAATATTATATGTAATATTAAAGGCTGGGTATATATTTATGGTTTTATATATATAATCCTGAAAATCCACAGATGCGTCCCATGGACAGTCTAGCTAACGACCACTAATCTACTGGGGCAAACACATCATACTCCTCAGAAACCAGAGTTTGGGAAGGAAGGTTCAGGTCAGCGTGGTTAGGGAAGGCTCTGTGGACAGGCCCACTCTGGGTCCTTGGAGAACAGGTCACCTGCAGGTGACCGCTCTGGCTGAAAAGGAATACTGAGCGCTGCGTGTTTGTGAAACGGTGTGACCAGCCTGGTCGGGTCAGCCTGACTACAGTCCAAACAACCTTGATGGACCATGTGACATGCTGGGAACGCCAAGAGGGGTGACACGGGGTCCAGGCTCAAGAAATTCACCAGGAGACTAAGAAAGGATGGAGCTGGAGTCTCAGCACGCAGGACTCTGAAATCTATCATTTGAAACAAACAGGAAGGAAGGAAGGATTCTTTGCTCTCCCCATCCTCACTCATCCTTCTTTGCTTGGTGGTGTTCATCATCCTGCTTTATTATCCAGCCACACTCCCGGCAAAATCCCTGTCCTGGAATCCTGATACTCCTGTGAAATGCACACTCACTCTCCTCCTTCAGCTCCCCCCATGCCATGTGGCCCAGCAACGTCAAGAAGACGAAGGAACAGCAGAAATGCGGGCCTCAGAGGCTCAGACAGGAAGGAGAAATGTGTCCCATAACCCATCTACCTGCGCCAAGTCAGTCCCCACCTCCAGAGTCAACACTGACATCTAGGGGAAGGATTCGGTGGATCACAGAGGTCACCCTGAAGGATTTTCTGAACATACTTCTTGTATCATTTGATTCTCCCACTGTTGCTTCCCAATCACAGATCAGGTGGCCTGAACCCACTCCTTCCCGGATGCCTGGACACTGAGTGTTCGCTGCCGCTCCGGTCCCTGCTGTGCACACAGGACTGCAGGGAGGCTGGGCTCCCCTCTGCACTTTTGCAATTGCCTGCAAGTGTAGAGTTCTAATGGGCACTTCAGAGCATGCAGAAGATGCATAATACAGAGCTTCTGTGCTGCGAAAGCATATTGAGGAAGTGGACCCGTCGATCAGATTATCCGATTAAACCTATCAATCAAAACTCAAGACTTGTGCTTCCAGCCATGATGGATTAACAGAGACCAAATGCATCTTACGCATTAAACAACCAAGAAAGCCTGTAAAATGCAGTAAATCACAGTTTACAGACATCACAGGACTATGGTCCCCGACAGGAGACCAGTGAAGTGGGCAATGGTCTGAGCTCTGCGAAGCCCCCAGCTCTCAAGGGGAGCAGTTCCCAAGTGCAGAGCAGGGGGGTAACCCAGAGAATGGCCCTCTTGCTGAGTTGAGGAGACTGGGACCAGAATTCAGGGAGAACGGGCGGCTGGGAGAGGAGGCCCTTCACACAGAAAAACGAGGAGACCAGCAGAGTGGTGTCCCTAACGGGAAGCGACACGCGACTGGGGGAAGAACCACCAGAAAGGATGGGCAGCGGGGCTCACAGTGTCCTCCCAGGCTGGAAATAGCTCTCCCATGGCCAGATCGCTGTTGCAACAGAAATCAGTCGATAGCCTCCCTCACGTTAAACTTTATTCTTTTAGCCCATCCAGCCACTCTCCCCCACATATATTTTTTTTTTTTTTTTTTTCTTCTTGCTTAACTGCCATTTGAAAATGATCGTTTTCTGGTTAGAATTGAACTATGCACCTGGTGTTTACTTCTTGGAGAAAACACTCCCTAACAACCCCTCCCTTTGTGAGCCTTCTTCATTCCAGAAAGAAGGTCATGGCACGATAGCCTCAAGGACCACCAGAGCCCATCCCGGGACCACCTGACACCAGCTTTGATGGTTCTGAAACTTTGCTGAAGTCAAGAAGAATGTGCCGCTTGACCCTTGTCTGCCGCCCGATTTCCCACCCGAGACTACAGAGCCTTTCCTCCTCTCAAGGGAGGGCACATCTTGAGGGCACAAGCCTGCTGTGGCCCCCTTTGCCTGGCAAAGCAATAAAAGCACTCTTTTCTACTTCACCCAAAACTCTGTCTCCGCATTTCTACTCGGCACCAGTAAAGACAGGCGGGGTTTCGGCATCAGTGGCAACCATGACCTTCCACATCCCAGGGCCCTGGGAGCGTCCTCAGGAGGGCGCCATCTTAGGAGTAACGGGGTTAAAATAATCTGACCTAAATGCTGCTCTGGACCTGCCGTCCAGAGCAAAGCCTGAGAGGAAGTCTCAAATGATCCATCTGATTCCAATAATACAACCACCTTCCAGAATAAAGCCCAAAATTATTTAAAGAAATAAACAAAATTCAGCCTTCAACATGTACAACTCATGTCAGGCACCCAAACAAAAATTTCCAAACCACAGTAGATTGAATGTTTGCAGCTCCCCAAAATGTGTGTGCTGAAGCTGAAGCCCCAGTGTGATGGCAGGTAGAGATGGGGCCTCCCCCCACAATGGGATTCGTGCCCTTACAAGAAGAGACACCACAGGGCTTGCTTCCCTTCTCTGCTCTGCACCCCGTGGGGACACAGTGAGAAGACTGCAGACCAGGAAGCAAGGTTTCATCAGACCTGGATCCTCTGGGGCCTTGATCTTGGATTTCCCAACCCCTAGAACCTGAGAACTAAAATGTTTGTTGTTTCAGCAACAAACAACAATTTGTGGTAATTTGTTAGAGTAGCTCAAACTGACTAAAGCACAGACATTTAAAATAACAGAAGAGTGTGAAAGAGAAAAATGACAGAGATGATAGAATTAGCACAAAAATTTGCGCCAACAGCTACTGTAAATATACTCCATGTGATCAAGAAGGTAGAGGAAGGCATAAACGTGACGAGGAGTGTCATGAAAGATATAAAAAGACCTAAGAAAGGTCCTATAGATGAAATACACAATATGTAAAATGAAAATACATTGATTGGGGCACTTCCCTGGCATTCCAGTGGTTAAGAATCCGCACTTCCACTGCAGGGGGCATGGGTTCGATCCCTGCTTGGGGAACTAAGATCCCACATGCCTCACGGTGCAGCAAAAAATAATAATAATAATAATAATAATAATACACTGATTAGGATTAACATCAGACTGGACACCAATGATGGACACAAATCAATTGTAATTCTATGCCCTGGCAACATTTGGAAATTGAAACTGAAAAAAAAATCGTAATAGCATCAGAAAACATGAAATGAAATACTTATGAATACATCCACCAAGATGTATACATATCCTGAAAACTACAAAACACTGCTGAGAGAAACTAAATCATCTAACTTAGTGGAAAGATATGTCATATGTAGATTAAACAATTCAATATTGTTAAAATGTCAGTTCTCTCCAAACTGATCTACAGATACAACAAAACCCAAATCAAAATTGTGGCAAGGGTTTTTGTAGAAATTGACAAGGTAAATCTAAAGTTTATTAAGAAATTCAAGGGATTTAGAATAGCCAAAACAACTTTGAAAAAGAGAACAAAATTGTAGGACTCACAATACCTGATTTCAAGACTTACTGTAAGCTACAGCAATTATGACAGTGTGGTATTGGCAAGAGGATAGATTCATAAATCAATAGAACAGCATAAATACAGATTTTTAACTAAACTACCAAGGTTTAGTGGGAAAAACAGTCTTTTCAGTAAATGGTGCCCGAACAACTGGATATTCATGTATAAAAGTTGATCCAAACCCCTTATATCACACCGTAGGCAAAAAAATAATTCAGAATAGCTTATAGAGCTGTATGTGAGAGCTAAAACCATAAAACATCTAGAAGAAGACATAGGAGAAAATCTTCACGCCCTTGGGAATGAAAGAGATTTCTTGTATAAATTGCTCAAGGCATGAACTGTTATAAAATTGATAAATTGTAACTGATCAGAATTTAAAACTTCTGCCCTTCGAAAGGCTTCAGAAAATGAAAAAGACCATTGCATGGGGAAAAAATTGTAAATTTATATCTGATCATTGTGGCCAGCATATTCAAAGAACCCTTACAACTCAATGTCAAGAAGACAAACAACTCAAGAAGAATCAGGCAAAAATTTTAAGTCGATTCCCCAAAGAAAATACATAGATGTATTTATAAGCACAAGAAAAGGCACTCCATGTCATTAATTATTAGGAAAATGCAAATTAAAACTGCAATAAGAAGTCGTTTCATGCTCACCAGACTGGCTAAAATCAGAAAGGCACACAAGACTGTGGAAGTCGATGTGGAGCCTCGCGTGCTCACCAAAGTGGTGGGGATGCAGCACAGAGACCCGCTCTGAGAAAACAAGTCAAAGTCTCTCATAAGTTAAACACACACTTACCACGTGAACCACAGGTGACCCCTGCGTGTTCACCCAGGAGAATGAAAATGAAAGACTTGTACTCAAAGGTTTATTCTTAACAGCCCCAAACTGGAAAGAACCCCAGTGCCCATCAGCTGGGGAACAGATGTGTAGATTGCTCCCCCTCCACACACTAGA